TATATTGTTTGTATAATTGTTTTCATGTGTTCTCCACTATTAGAATGTGAGCTCTGAGAGCAGGGAGTTTTTCATTTTGTTTTGTTTTGTCTGAAATCCCAAGTACTTGGTAAAGTGCTTGGAATATAGCTTAATAAATGTTTTCTGACTTCTTCCAATGAAATTCTATCATGACCAAAGATATGCAATTATTTGGAGTTCCTCATACTTGGATTTATCTGACCCTTTAGTTCAAGTCACAGAACCACAGAATGTCAGTCAAAAGGGATGACAAAGACCATCTTGGTGAGCCCATATCTGAAAAAAATGAACAATACAACTGATAAATGGTCAGTCATCCAGCTTTTGAAGACCTTTAGTGAAGGGAAGCTCCCTATCCTTCCGGTGTAGCTTATTCAACTTTTGAAGAGCTTTAGTTTTGGGGGAAGCTTTCCTTACTTTGGTCTAAATTTGTCTCTTTGCAAATTCTACCCAATGCTTTTAGTCCTGTCCTCTGGAACTAAAAAAGAGCAAGTACTATCCTTCCACTTTATAGCTCTTCACGTACTTGGGGACAGCTAGCATATTCATCACAAAAATTTTCTTCATGTTAAATATCTCCACTCCTGATTTCTCACGGCATGAGCTCAAGACATTTTACAATTCTGATTTCCTTCCCCTGGAGCCAAGAACTGAACACAGTACTCCAGATGTAATTTGAGCAACAGAGAAAATTTAACAAATGCTTGAGTGCTTATTAATGTGAAAGATAACAAACTAGGTGCATACAATGAAGAATGAGACATGTACATCATCATTGTCTTCAGAAACTCAATTTCAAGCATGATCAAATCAATTCTGAAATTCAAATGCTCCCTCAGTACCTCCTGCCCACAACCATTGGATAGAGTGAAGGTAGACATCAGAGAGTTCTTTCCAGATCCTCTATTTAAAGACAGGGCGCAAGGCAGATACCTAAATCACTTTCAATTTGGCTGCAGGACTGACACAATCCATTACCTTAAAGAAACACACACACACACACACACACACACACACTCTCTCTCTCTCTCTCTCTCTCTTATATAATCTGTGACAATGAATAGGGGAAGAGTGGTCCAAGACTCTCAGAAGGGATTACTTCTGATTGGGAGAGCAAGGAAAACACCATGAAAATATTAGGCCCTGGAGGTTGGATAGGATTTCAGTTGATGTAGACTGGAGTCAGGCAATAGTATGAGCACAGGATTTATTTATGTAAGAATTGTCATTCTCACCTCTGTAATACTACATAGCTAACCTAATTTTCTAAGAATCACTTTAGCTCACATACCCCTTTTTTAACCTCTTAAAAGCTCTACTGCAAAATATCCTACTTGACAGATCACTGGTATAATAAACATTCTATCCCTTTTCATTCAGTACTCTTAGCATCTACATAGCTTTTTAAATTTTACCTTGTTTGCTGGTAATTAAAGACCTAGAGAGAATTACCCTGATATCCCTTTCCATCAAGTAGATATTTCTCAGTACTCATGAGAATTCACGTAAATCAGTTTCAATTACCTTTTCATGTAACACTAACTTTATCTCTAATAAGAAAAGGAGGAAAGTACCTACTAAGAGCACTGCTGTTTCCTTTTCAACCAACTGTAGCATCTTACTTGAGACAAATTAACTAGTTTCCAATATATAGTATTTTCTCTTCCTTTTTTATCCATTGGGATAAAGTTCAAGTGATCAAAATTCAAAATCAAATTTTCCACACATTCAAATGAATGCAGAAATTCAAAACAGTATTTCCTTTAGCTTCTATACTCAAGATATTTACAATCTAGTTGAATTGTTAAAGTAATAGCAAATAACAGAAGACTCAATAAGACTGCTTGAGAGGATCAAATCCACCAGAGAAGGCTGGACTCTTGAGCAGGGAAGTAAGGGGACAGAGGGACAGAAACAGCTCACATTAAGTAAGAATAACTTCCATAATTAAAGACATCAAATGTATGTTTTGTTCTTGACAACATTAGAAAACCTACACTACTGAGGGAGAAGGATGATTGTTGGATAAAAAAAAAATTGCTAATGCTCCTGCATTAACATTGCGGGATCATTGTGTTCCCTTTTGAGAATTCTCTATAATATCCATAATATTCTATGTGAATACCTCCTTCAAATTTAGTTAATTTTCTTTGCTTCCTTCCTTTTTTTCCCCATAAATTTCTTACTTGAAATTTAAACTTTCTGAAATTTCTGGGTTTTTTTAATTATCCATTTAATTTTTTCTGCATGCCCATAAGATATCAACAGCTGAAATTTTCAAAATGGGGAATTCTTCTAGTTGTTAATTATAATTTGTTATATGTAATTTGATCCATGTTTGAATTTAATCCCTTATTCTTTTAGTTACCATAAGACATGTTACCATTCACTTCTAAATGAAGGCCACAGTAATTGTTTAAAATATACTGTATTTGTGAGAGACATTAAAAAAAACACTGATGAAGCACTTCATTTCCATAAGTATTACAAAAAGCAAACTTAATTTTATAAAACTATTTACAGGTGTATTGAATGACAAGGGAAAATAATACAAAATGGAATAATTTTGAAATTTGACATATTTATCCATATCTTCTTAGGACTAAAAGAACACACACAAAATATTTTTAAAACAATGAAATTCTGTTCAAAAGTTGTAGAAAATATATGTGCTAAATTACTAAGTCATACCAATTTAAGCTTAATAGATCATAGTATCACGAAATTTATAAAATTATCTAGCTCCTTCATTTTACAAATGAGGAAAGTGAGGCCCAGAGAGGGGAGGTAACTTGCCGTAGAATGATCACATATAGGTAGTAAGAGTCAGGATTTACAGTGAACTCTTCTGATGCTACACCAGGGCTCTTTCTACCACACCAATATTTGAAAACCTCTTATAAAATATGAATCCATCTCAGTAAGCAAAAATTAACTAGGTCTAGTCTGTGCATTTTGCCAAAGATTTAAAAACTGATTATAAAATACAATTTTAAAACTGATCTTCTTACCTTTATTAAGATATAGAGGTAGTAGTAAATCTACATTCAAAATTCTGACAAGAGAATAGAAGTAAAAACTTTAAGCACAAGCACTTTTCATCCTGAATAGGAAAGGCCTAGCCCAGGTGGCATGAAAACAGCCAGAATCACCAAAAACTGCATAACACAGTGCTCTGTGGCTTCTTCATGTATGCACAATGTGGGCATGACTATCAGGCAAGTCTTTCCAGCTGGGCCTGAACACAAATAATCATCATATCAGGATGTAGCATTACCTTCAAATATGAAAGTCTAAATAAACATATTGATACATCTTTTACACATATACAACATGAACATATAAATTAAGACAGTATTAAAAATTTGGCTACTAATATGGAGTAATGAAATGATAATTGTCAACAAATTCATACAAGGGCCCACTATATATCACTTCAATTACTATTTCAATAGTAACACAAATTTCTATAGCGCTTTAAGCTTTACAAAGCGCTTTCCTCACAACAACCCTGTGAGGTAGGTAATATACACATTATTCAGATGAGGAAACTTGTCCATTGTCATATTGCTAATTAGGGCTAGAGCCAGATCCAGTTCTCCTCTCTCCAAGCCTCATTTATTTTTTTTTAAATAGAATAGGGGTAAAGGAGTTTTCTCTTATTGTGTGGCTTCCTAGAACACAATTTCAGATTTATTTCTCTTCAGGACAATAACCAAATCATTTGACTTAAAATTCAAGTCCTACAGGAATTACGTACTTATTGCAAAAATTTTAAACATTTTATCCACTCACACTTAAGTTACTTGAAATACATGGCATTTCAAGGTGACCAATTTGAAAAAATTAAATCAATGACATGGTCCACAGTACTCCAAATTATGCAGCTGAAAAGTGAAAAATTTGGTTAGTAATACAGGTCTTCTACTTATGTACTATCATATATTTGGAAACCTCCTCAGTCAGGATGATCAAATTCCAAGTTTTTCATTCGCATTTTTTATATCATAAGTCTCTATGTGATGCAAATTGCCTTAAATGGCAGGTTGTGATATTGATTTAGCTGAATTCTTGTCTGAAAATATATTTTGCTCATCATAAGTAATTGCCCCAACTAAATACACCCTGAAATGTAATTTATACTAATAGACAAATTTCTATGGAACAGACTGAATTGGCACTTTAAAAACATTTTACATCACTAGGAATAATGTCAAAGACATTTCCCCCACATACTATATTTCATCACATACAAATATTTATTTGATATGACTTTTGATATTTGATTTAAAATTATGCATATGAAATATTACCTAGACCTAAAAATTTTCAATGACTATGTGTTTAATACACATCAAGATGTAAGAGTCTACACTTAGTTAACAAAGCAATAAAATAGCTAATCTGGTTATTTTGGCCATCTTTACCGAATAATTAGCAAAAGGGAAACGAGAAGCCTTTTGCATGGAATTATGCCTTGTTTTTATATTTAGAGCAGCAAAATCATTTACTAGTTAAAATTATATAAACAGCAAAAGAAAGAGTGGCTAATAAAATTATTTGGCATGTTTCTTAAAGAAGAAACCACAGACAAGAAAATGTGAGAATATCATTGATACAAGGATATGATTCGATATAATGAATGGCTGGAATTGGCATTTTTACTCACTGAACTTTTTCCACTTATCAATTAATTTACTATTGCACTAATAACTGTACATGAAGTTGCCAGCAAATTTGCTCCAAAATTTTCTCACCTTTAATCGTAAACAATACCTGTTAACTTAGATGTACAGAAAAAAAAAATCTTGTGCACTTGGGGTATGATCATCTATGAAAAAATACTTATCTCCTCACATCTTAGAAAAAGATTACCATTTTATAAAGTTCTGAAAGCACAGCCAGTCACAACACCTGTTCTCTGCATGTAATTGCTCATGAATTATTTCAAGCTCACAAAATTTTAAGTAGCACAGACATAAGAGACGGAAAGTTTTTATTTTGCTGACTCTCACACAAACCCTTTTGCTGAAAAGCATAAGACGCATGCACAGTGATGTATTTCGTAAAGAATAACTAAGCAATAATTCAGCTGTAAACAATAATGATATAAACAAAAGCTTAAAGGGATATTTTATGAGAATATTCACTAAAAGTAAAACAAAAGTATGAACAGGGGGTCCTTGACTTTAATAAGGAAAAATTCAAGTTAATATCAGTGCATGTTAAGAGCAATTAATTTTCCAAACATCTTGATACATAATGAACTTATAAAATAACAATTATTTTATTAGGCTTTTCCAGTCTGTGAGAAAAGTGTGTCAGTATAATCAAACAGCTAGATATTCAAGATGATTTTCATTCTAGTCACACTGCTACTTTGTATCACCAGCAAAGAACATAATTTAAACAATAACACGCTTTAAAACTTTACCTATAGTACACCAACTGGATATCCAGTTACTATGTGAAAAATAAGTATCATAATTATTTTTATGGAGCTTGATTATTATCCTAATTAACTAGTGGTGGTCGTGGTGGTAGGGTGTGTGTGTGTGTGTGTGTACTTGTGTCTTAAAAATATTTTCAAAGATAGTAAAAAATTTGTTCTAAATTTCATGGTAAAGGAAGTTTAAAATAAGTTTGGCATCATAACGCCACACATAGATCTGCCTATATCAGAGTTAAACCAATTTTATGCTGCTTATGTATGCCATACTTAAGTCTTCAAAGCTGTTACTTAAAATATAGTTTACTCACTCTGTCTTCAGAGAAGCACACTGTATTGTATTAAACATTATTCAATGTAATTGTTTTCATGATTCATCATGATTTAATTAGTGTCTCTTGCCTTAGTCACTGATGATGCAAATCCAGTAACAAAAATCCAGGGTCAACAAATCTAAATCTAGAATTGTGATCCTAAAGGACTACTATAAATGATAAGAAATTTTTAAAAAAAGGTAAAACACTCATTGCAAACCATTATCTTGTTCTACAGTTGAAGTGTTTAATGACTCAGTTGCCAAAATGCAATTTCTTAATTTGATTCAGTGAGCCACAAACCCTATTAAAGCTGAAAACTCAGAGAATCAAGGAGAGCAATATTAATCTTTTGCTTTGTGGCCAAGTCAAGATTTTTCCAACAGAATTGGAAAAAAAACCCAACTTTTTCTAAAGGAAGATCATTCCCTTAGTGCTGCTTGATGGAATAAATATCCCATTGCCTCCAAGAACAAGAATTTCTTGACGTGAGACAACTGCAAAGAGCATTGGCAGTAGCAGTGAGAACCTCCAAACAAAGGATTCAATTTTAAGCAGGACAAATACTGGCTGGCTATGGATTTCTTTTACTAACAGCCTACTGCGTAACCCATACATATCAACACTATAATCTCTAATCCAAATAAAAATTATATGATAGTAAATGGAATTATATGATAGTAAAATAAAAATAATTTTCTTTTTTACTAAATATTAAGTTAAAAATCAGACTAGTAGGCAAAAGGCACATGCTTAAAAGTTTAGCAGAAACATTTGAGTGCTTTATGTTACCTCAAATATACTCTTGACCCATTAAGAGTAAAAGAATAAACATACAATTCAAATTGATTGCTCAGATAATTACGAAGTAACAGAAAACTTAAATGATCTACTATTTATGGCACATATGTTCTAGTTTAGCTTAGCTGAAATCTTTATTAAACTGAACAATTTTTTAAATGCTTTCCTACAATTTGATTGGGTGACAATTTTAGCTTAGATTTAATTTTCATTACACTTTACACATTCTTTTGTGCACAGCACAAAGTGTGGAAATTAGGCTAATTTGATTAAAATTAGATAGTTAAATGTTTTGTATATGTAAGTCATTAAATCAGCTAATAATGAAATAATGAAAAGACTAGGTAAAAAGAGCTTCTTCCCCATGAACATTTCTTTTTTCTTTATACATTTCATGATCTAGGTATTAATTTCTTAGACTTCTGTAAAGAAACACACTGACTAAGAAAAAAAAACATCACATAACTGCAAAATACTAGCTTTGTTAGCTACAATTAGTATAGTCACAGGTTGTGGGGGGGAAAACCCAACCTAAAATAACAAAAAAAAAAGGAAGAATATATACTGCAAATTAATATCCAGGAATATATTCACTGATCAACTTGAGTTACATAAAAAATAACAAGCTATACACTTCCATTAATCTTCTGTAGTTCATCCAAAACCGACATTAAGTTCATGGGGAATGCAAGGTATAACATAACTCAGTATATCTATTCATATTACAGCAAATTCAAGAGTAAACTTGTAAAATTATGTATGCTTAACCAAGACCAACCACAAATAGGCTGAAGTCACAAACTGTAATTTATCCAATGTTCAATCAATAAGGCTTTATTTACACTTCTTATAAATTCAGGAAACACTTTGGTGAAACGTGCAGCTGTCTCTCAAGAGACAGGATAGCTCATTCCACTGATTGAAGACAGCATTTGCTTACACTTTAATACTAACCAACAGGCAGCCAATTACAGTTCCATATATCCAGGTTTTCACATATAATTTCCTTCCAGATTCTGTCATGAGCATACTAGCAGTCAGACCACCTAAGAATAGTAAAGATGGCAAAGTTTTCTTGAGGCTTAGTTTGGAATTAATACATTTCCCTGGAAACTTGCTTCTTCTTTGGGAATCTGGTGAATCATAGAATTCTATCATCAACCTATGGATACATAAAATAGAAGTGGAAAGTTGTTTGGTTTTTTCTGGGTAATTTCTTTCCTAATAGCTTATATTCAGTAATATAAAATGACAATGTAAAAAAACTATCTGTTAACATAATGCCATATGGTTAGGAAGTTTAATGTCATTTTCAAGGAATATAAATTTTTTGAGGTCTACAAAAATATGGATTAATTCAATCTATATTTAATCAACATCATTTCATTTAAAAAAATCTTTGTTAGAAAAGATGAACGTCTGGGAAGGAGAGGGGCAGAGACGGGAAAATCTAGGCAATATAAATAAAAATCTATTTAACAATAGAAAAATGGATAAGGAAGATATGGAAATAACTCAATAATCCAGTATTTAATATACGAAGTACATGAATTATATAGGTAGGAATCTCTATCTGACAAGAACTACTGGGAAAACAGGAAAACAATTTGGCAGAAATTAGGTTTATATAAAGTTCTTACGTCATGAAACAAAATATACTTAAAATGGATACCTAACCTGAATATAAAAAGTCATACATAAGTATCTTTCATAGCAAGAGCTAAGTAAAGAATTCTTAACATAAAAGGGGATCTAGATAATCACAAAAGTTAAAGTAGATTTTCAGGTGAAATTTAAAAAGCTTTTACCCAACAAATGCGGCTGTGGGTCACAACTCCACATGGGGTCGCAATCCACAGTGTAAGAAGTGCTGAAGGGGTTGTGAGTGGAAAAAGTGTAAGAAACCCTGAACTAATATAAGAAAAGAAGCTACTAACTGGGAAATAAATCTTTGCTTTAAATATCTCAAATAAAGGTCTAATAGCCAAAACATGTAGGAAGTCAAATAAGGACCAAAAACCATTTCTTAATAGATACACTTTCAAAATATATGAAAAAAGAAAAGATTTTTTTAAAAGTAATAATTGCTAATTAGAGAGGAAGCAAATTAGAAAGGTAAAGGAGAAAAGGTACTGACTCTAGGATCAGTGGACCTGTGATCAAATCCTGTCTCTACTCAAATGTGTCTCAGTTTTCTCATTTGTAAAATCAGTGTTAGACTAGACAGTTTCTGAGATTCCTTCTAGCTCTAGATCTATGCTCCACTGCAGCAAATCACTAATAAGAAAAATGCAAATCAAAACAACTTTCTGGATTCCCAACCAGCAAAGAGGCAAAAACATGCCAAAAGTAGAAAACTCAATATTGGACATGTTGCTCAAAGACAAGTACATTAATCCACTGTTTGAGTAATAATGAATTGATCCAATAATGATGGAAAGAAATTGGGAATTTTGCTAAATGAGTGACTAAAATGTCCATACCCTTTGACCAAGAGATCTCCAAGGAGGTCAAAGGGAAAAAGAAGTTCCTGAAGTAGAACTTCAGATGATAGCAAAGAACTGTTGCATGCAAGCCGAAACTGTTTCATTTTTGTCCTTGTATCCCTAGGAACCTGTCATGTTCCAGGAATATGGGGTTCCATATTGTTTTAAGTTATCAAGTACAAATTCTGTCTAGTATTTTAAAAAAATCATCACAATCTATCTCCAACCTAACTTTCTAAGCTTATATATAACATTGTCCCTGCCCCCCACCCCCCGGAACTTCTATATTGCAAACTTGTCTACTTGTTATTCATTGTACATAATGTCCCATTTCCTATCATGTCTGAAATGAAGTTCACGCCTCTTAGAATCTCTAGCTTTGAAACGATAAAAGGGATAATTTGGGAAAAGGCTAGGAAGACTTAAAATTAACAAAATCAAGAAATCATGAGTTGAAATCCAGCCTCAGACACTTGATATTTACTAACTGTGTGACCCTAGGCAAGTCACTTACCCTGATTGCCTCATCAAAAAAAAAATTCTTTTCTTTTCCTAAACAAATTCTTTAGTGTATGTATAGAGAATAAAATAACTCCAAATGAAAAAAAATCAATTCAATTTGTAAATTCTTTTAGTCACATAAAAATGAAGACACTTAACTTACTCACAGAATGAAATCTAATAGACATGGTTTGCATAAAAATTGTTGTAAGATGTTAAAGATGAAGATGTTCAGTCACATGCAGGACGGTTTTAAGTATACACATTACTTACTTATCTTTTATTTCAAAGCGGTCATGAAGCCATCTTCTCATAGACAACTGTTCTTCTGGGATATCTTTTTTGTCTATGCGATCAATATGAATGTGAACTTTTGGACATTCTTTGCAAAGAAATTCTAAAAAACAAAGACAAATGATACCCACATCCACTTTAATAAAATGAATGGAAAATTCATACTTTTTGGTTCCATATTGATATACAATAGTGAAAATCTGGTTATTCTACTTTTGCCATAATTTCAGAAGTTATTATAATTAAACTGATGATAGATTATATTTTTCACTTAATAAGAGAAGAAAACGCAAAATTCCTACAATGACAATTAAGATATTGAGTCTGTTTTTCACAATGGTGCAGCAAGAAAGACCTTGTAAAAAGCAAACAATTGAAAAAACTAGGGATCTAGGCTGTAAAGGAAAAGGAAGTCAGAATGCAGCAGGACCAATTCTTCTCTTCAGATGTAATCTTCTCTCTCTGTTTCTTTATAATATCATCCAGACAAAACTGGGATACCCTTAGAAATCTCTTCAGAGTTCAGCTGATTTTTTTCCCCATTCACTGGAATAAAAACTGTTTAGTCTACTACTCTAAAATTTCCAAGGAAGATAAAGTATTATAATCTAATATAACTCACAACTATTATTTTATAACTATAATATCTAACCTAGCACTTCTTACACAGCTGATAACTAGATATGCATATGTCCCAGAGTAGGAGAGAAATTTGGAGTTATAGAACCATCATTTGTCTGTGATGCTAAAGAAAGAGGAAAGAAAAGTTGTGTATTGGAATACCAGAATAGAAGAGGAAGCTGAGAAATGGGAAAATTCTCAAGGAAAGAAATGTGAATTCTGAGGGGTTTTTTTAAATTATTGTAATTTGTTGAGGTAGTTTGCCTCAAAGAGAACACGACTATGGAGTCCCTTGAGGGATGCGTATTTGAAGAGAAGATGAATCTTAGGGATTATAGATAGATTAGTCAGTCAACAAGTGTTTATTAAGTATTTACAAAATACTAAGCACTGTACTAAGCCCTAAAAATAGAAATAAAGGCAAAAATACAGTACAAGAAGCTTACAGTACAAATGGGAGATAAACTCAGCAAGAAGGTACTTGTGGGGAAGGGGAAAAAAAGTGGGAAAGGCTTCTTCTAGAAAGTAGTGTTTGAGGGGCAAGTAGGTGGCGCAGTGGATAGAGCTCCAGCCTTGGAGTCAGAAGGACCTGAGTTCAAATCCGGCTTCAGACACCTGACACTTGCTAGCTGTGTGACCCTGGGCAAGTCACTTAACCCCAATTGCCTCACCAAAAAAAAACGACAAACAAAAACAAAACAGAAAGTAGGGTTTGAGCTCATTCTTGAAGAATCAGGGGGTAAAGATGAGGAGGGCAAGTGTTTCAGACATGGAGAGAGCAGGCAGTAAAAGGGCATGGAGTTAGGAGATAGAGTTGGGGGGAGTAACATGTTTTAGGAAAAACACTTTGGCAGCTGCGTGTGGAGATTAGTGTGGATTAACATTTGAGCCAGAGAAATAAATGGAAATTGAGGGAATGCCCATCAACTGGGGAATGGTTGAACAAGTGGCGGTATATGAATGTAATGGAATACTACTGTGTTATAAGAAATGATGAGCAAGCAGACTTCAGAAAAACCTGGAAAGATTTGCATGGACTGATGATGAGTGAAGTGAGCAGAACCAGGAGATGTACACAGTAACAGCCACATTGTGCAATGACTACAGTTGATAGACTTAGCTCTTTCTCAGCAATGCAAGGATCTAAGATATCTCCAAAAGTCTCATGATAGAAAATGCTCTCCACATCCAGAGAAAGAACTATGGAGTTTGACTGCTGATCTAAGCATACTATTTGCTCTTTTTTTTTTCTTCTGTTTTGTTTTGTTTCCTCTTTCTTGTGGTTCTTCCTATTGATTCTAATTCTTCCTTACAATGACTAATGTGAAAATATGTTTAATAGGTATATATATGTAGAGCCTATATCAGATTGTATGCCATCTTGGGGAGGGAGGAGGTAAAGGAAGGGAAGAAAATTTAAAATTCAAAAGCTTATGGAAGTGATTGTTGAAAACTAAAAATAAATAAATTAATTTTTTTTTAAAAAACTTGAGCCATGGAGACTAACCAGACCAACCAGGACCTCCACGTGGGTGGCAGCTTAGAGCAGAGATAGGGACATTTGTAAGACATGTTGTAAAGGTAAAAATAATAAGACTTGGTAAGAGATTGGATATCTATGGTTTGAGTGTGAGTACAACCAAGGATGACAACAGGGCTGCAAACCTGAGTAAAAGAGAACATGCAATAGTAGTCCTTAATAGTTATGGTAAAATTTGGAAGAGATGAACTGGGGGAAATAGAAGTTCTATTTTGCACATGTTAAATTTGTCATATCTATGGGATTTGCTGTTTAAGATGCCCAGTGACAGCTGACGACATGAAACAAGAGCACAGGAGAGTTGTTAGGGAATGGACAAATAAATCTGACAATCACTTGTGTAGAGATGATAATTGAATCCATGGGAACTGATGAGAAATCACCAAATGAGATAGTGTAGAGAGAAAAGAGGTTGTTTTGTTCCTTGTTTCATTATTCCCTATACTTGGTATCCAACATCCATAACTTTTAATTAGCTAAACTTATTAATATACTGCAATTAACACATAAAGTGGTATCCTAATATATACAAAAATATTATTGATTTGTTTTTATTTGACAAAAAAGGTCAAGATTTTAATTTTCTACTATTATGGTCTGAAAACTGGGTTATTCAGAGTTTTAATCTCAGTTGGTGATCTAAATGCTATCTAGTAAGTACTAATAAGTATCTAAACACTTGTTTCAGGGGCAGCTAGGTGGCACAGTGGATACAGTGCTGGCCCTGAACTCAAGAGGACCTGAGTTCAAATCCAGCCTCAGACCAAACACTTGCCACTTACTAGCTGTGTGACCCTGGGCAAGTCACTTAATCCCATTGCCTAGCCAAAAAAAAAAGCCATCAATTAAAAGATGTTTGTTGGATCATTATTTTTGTTTCTTTCACACCAGATGTACTATTGCTGTTTTTTGGGTTTTCTCCTTGCATCCCCAGAACCTAGGATATAATAACCATGTAACAATGTTTGTTACTGTTTTTATAAATATATTATTTTTATGTTTGGTTTTCATGGATATAGCTTTGTTTACTATATGTCTTAAATCAAAGTTAAGTTGAAAAAGACTATTAATCACTCTTACTAAGATAAACAGAATATGGGGAAAAAATGAATGACTAAAGAAAAAGTGTAAGCAAATTCCAAAGGACTTGGTTATGAACACAAGGTTAGGAATAAATTTTTTTTAATTCCTTAATCTGATTTCCAGGTACCTTCTTAAAAAAAGAATTTGATTTTTAAAATATTTCCCCACCAGCATTTTTATTATTGTATGCCAGTCCAATTTTATCTAAAAGATCAGGGAGAAGGTATAAGGATGGAGTTGCCAAAGGGGATAAGGAAAAAAAGGAGGATCATTAAAAACAATGTTACTAAAACACAAGAGAATTCACAGAGGAGAACGGAATGAAGTTCAGAGGGAGATACAAAAAGGACAGTTTTGAAAGTAGTCATTTGAATATTTTTTAAGCAATAAACTTAGCAGAGATGAGCAATTTCATGTACCGTCATCTTTTTCTATTCTATTTTGTATGTAGAAATGATTTTTTGGGGAGGTAATTCATTAGTACAGATAAAAAATTGCAAGAAAAGAAGACTGGAGAAATACAGACATACATACACACACAGACACATACATACATATATACACACATGTATACAAATACACAAACTTAGAATACTTATAGCACAACTCAATGTGCTATGTCAGTGTTCTCCAAGTGGCCTTACAGACATGTAGTGATGTGTCTTTGATTCTCCCCCTACCTAATTTACACTAGTGACATATTTTCTGATTAGCTATACACTTCAGGTAAAAAGAATGTGAGCTAGTAATTATGAGAGAATTTGAAGAAACAGATGGAAAATAAATGTTTCAGGTCAGAAAAAAATCTCAACTACAAATCTGTGTAGGAAGACTTCAGACTGCACATAAGCAATTTACACGCTAATTTCTCTGCTTTTTTTGTAGGTCTAATAGCTGTTTGATATGCCTTAATGTGGTTCATGGTAAACATCAGTAAAATACAATTCAAGGATTCCAAATTAACAGTAATACCTTAAAATTGTATTACACGCTAAGTTTTTTAAAAATGCTTTTACATTATCACGAGAACATTTAAAGGGCATGCAAATTAGTCTCTGCCCCATAAATGACTAAGTTACTCTAAGGTATGTATTAACACAGAAAATAAAAAGGCTGCTATCAATTTTAGTTCAATTTTTAATTAATTTTTGAATGTATGTGGTAAAACTTATCCATCTATGCAAGCTTCCATTAAAAAAATAAAATAAAATTAGAAAAGTAAGAATATCAGACTCACCAGTCATAGAAGGTGCTTCTTTTCTTTTTCCCATTTGATCCACAGTACCTTCATATGCTACTGTAACATCATAAATCGCATCTAAGTAATTCTTCATACAGTCAAAAGCAACATATGTTGCCTTTATTCTTGGTGTCAAGACATGTTTTAACACTGCAAGGCCTAAGGAAGGAAAAACAAAATTCCACAAAAGTGAAAGGACAAAGAATAAAAAAAAAAGCCTATTCTATATGTTCCCTATTATAAAAAGAGTTGATTTGGTATCTATTATAATTTTAAAATGAAACTAGTAAGATCTTTCTGTAGGTGGTTCTTTTTAATTTCCAGAAATAGCCCATAATATATACTATCTTAAATTTCTACCAACTTTGGACCAATTTCCTCATTTGCAAAATGGTGGTAACACTTACCCTACCAATCCCTCATGGTTTTTTTTCCTTAAAATCCCTACCTTAAATATTTTCTTCTTAGCTTTTATCCATAAACAGAAATTTTTATATGGGGGAGTATAATACAATTTTATATCCTGAGTATAAATTTTTGGGAGTAAATTGCCAGAGCCTACAAAAAGTGTTTAACTTGAGTTCTCCAAAAAGTGATGGGCTTTAAGACCAAAGCTTCAGGGGAAGGGATAAGGGGAGATGAGGTAGGTAGGTAGGAAGAGGAGAGCTAAAGTATCAACACTTGTGATAGCATGTGAAAAGAATATTGGATTCTAATCTTAATTCTACTACTTACCACTTATGTAACCTTCAGCAAGTTCCATAAATATGGGAATTGACTAAACGTGGACCTAGTCAGTAAAGTTTTGCGATATTCTCTAGCACTCAATGCCAATAGGAGTAAAGATAAAGAATGATGGGAGCAATCCAAGGTTGCAGTTTGGAGAGGTTGGAGGTCATGGTTAGGATAAAAAACAGGGTTATAGCACAGGTAAAGATGCAAAGATAACAAATGATCAGAAAATTAATAAAAGAATTTTCTTGTGAGGCAATGAGGTTCCATTACTGAAGTTACTCAATCAGGAGTATAGACACCACTTGTTTGAAGATGTTTTAGAAGAGATTTCTACATTATGAAAGAGGTTGGGCCAGATGACTCCTGGGACCCTGACAAAGCTACGGTTCAGTGACTGGATCATTAAGTATTGGAGCACAATCAAATTGGATTTATATCAGAAATGTAAGTATAGTTCACCATTAGAAAAAGCATTAACACAGTCATAAGGTATAGTGTTAGAAACAGGATCTGTGATTTCATTAGCACAGGGAACTTCCTAGGTGAAAAAATCTCTACCAATGTAAGCCACTATCTTTTTTTGTAACTTAAAGAGCACAAAGATCAAGTGACTTGCCCAGGGCCATGAAGAGAAAGGACCTAAACCTAAGTCTTCCTGACTTTGAGGCCAGTTCTCTATTCATTATGCCCTGCTTCATCTCAACATGATCAACATAATCATTAAAAACAAAAGAAAACAAAAAATCCAGGATCACATTATCAATTGACATAGGAGCTATCAGAATAGTCTAGATGAGTTGAAAAGGACTGTATAAGTACTCATCATCTAAGAATGACATACTGTACTATTCTGTGTGAATCAAGGACCTCATGCTTCTATGATTAAAGCTTTCTGATTTGAAATTCTTCCACAAGTATATACAGGGACAATTATCACATCTTAAGCCTCAAGGGATGATAAAGCTGAAGGGACCCTATGGCTATCTAGTCCAAACCTCTCATTTTAAAAATGGGGAAATATGGGCCCCAAAAATATTGGTATAATTCTCCAACTGGCATCAAAAACACTTTCTTTACTCTTTCACTAAAAATTCTACTCTAAGAATGAAGGACAATTTTTAGGTATTGAGTATTATTGCCTTTATTTTGCAGATGAGGACATAAAGGCTCAAAAAGAATAGGTGACTAGACAAAAGAGATATATACATATGCACACAAATACACATACACACACACACACACACACACACACACACACTCACACACACATGTGTGTGTGTATGAAGGACCTAAACTGAAAATCTCATTTTTCCACTTCAACAAACTATGCTTAACATCTGATTATGTTACTAATAACAATAAAAGCTAATAATAAAACTTTGAAGTTTACTAAACATGCTACATGATTATCTCATTTGAACCTCATAATAATACTTTAAAATAGGCATTATACAAATATTATACCCATTTAACAAATGGGGCAACTGAGGCTCCAAGAAAAAGAAATGATCACCCAGTGGTCACATAGCTAATAATTTTCAGAAGGGAATCAAGCCCAAGTCTTTTTTGACTCATAATTCAACATTCTACCTATCACATTATTCCTCACTAGGAGAAAAGACAAGAAGCATACTTTTCTTTAACTACTACACCCTCGGAAAATTAGTTGCATAGAGATCAGCAATAGGATTGGGGGATTTCCCTATAAAAGTATTTTTACAATGGAGATGGGCTGGCATGCAAAACAAAATATATCTCCTAACCAACATATTTGATTTAAATCCTGGGAAGGATGTGGTTTAATTTATTTTCAGTCAAACCTAAAAGGATCCAAAAGATTATGAACTTATTAACTTAATTAGATAAAATATTTTCCTTCTTGGGCTACTGAATCTTATCCAATTTGGAAATCCAAAGGTTGAAAGCAATATTCATTAATAAAGCTGAAGAAAAATGACTTCTTGCTGAGATCTATAAAAGCAGGAATATTTTGTAAAATCTTGTAATAAAGTTCTGCAAATAAAATTTGTAGCTGAACATTTTGCAGAGGGACTAGAACAGAATCTAGTGGGATGGCACAATAGATGTAAAGGACTCAGTTGATAAATCTAACATACTAGGTTATCTTTTACTATTCTCAGTATAATAGTATTTGCAAACAAGTATTTGTCACCTATGAAGTAATCCTAGGGGTACTAGGGACACATATAAAAAATCAGTTCCTAACCTCATGGACCTTACATTCTATTTATCTTCCTAATTCTGTAAATTAAGCACTATTCTCTACACTGCCTCTTTAGGTACCCTTTATACTTTAACAGCTATAATCTGTTATTGTTCAGTCATTTCAATCATGTTCAACTCATCATGACCCCATCTGGGGTTTTCTTGGCATAGATACTAGAGTGGTTTGCCACTTTTTTTTCCAGCTCATTTTACAGATAAGGAAACTGAAGTAAACAGGGTTAAGTGATTTGCCCAGGGTCACATAGTAAGTAAAGCTGAATTTGAACTCAGGTCTTCCTTACTCCATGTGTGGCACTCTTTCTACTCCACCACCTAGCTTCTAGCAATAATCTATATGATGAGTATTCTCTATTCATTTGTCACAGTCTTCTAAAATGAATTTACCTCTGTGTTATTTTTTTATTTTTATATCCCCAGCAAGTGTTTTGGACACGAAGGGTGCTTAGGAATCATTTGCTCATTTTAAAATGAAACTTATTAACTCGTTTTCAAATAACATTGTTTTGAAGGCCAGAAAGAAGCACAACCAGGACAGATTTAAAGCTACAGGTTGAATTTATTATGTACTTAAAAAGAAAAAGAAACTACTTTATAGAAATCTGCAGTTCTATGTATAATTCTCTTTTTCTGATCTGTCATATAAATGAAAATGCCTATATTACTGAGTATGCTCAGAATAAAAAACAGATTTGGAAAAAGAAGATACCAGAAGGCAGACAAAAACCAAATAATTTCCTTTTACCACCTAAAATAATGCCCTGCTTCTTTGGCTCAGTAATGTTATAAAAGCACAATATTTTAAGTGGCCCAAAGAGCACATTTTCAATTAACAAGCTAAATATATTATTTCATATTCAATAGTTAAAAATAAATAAGCACCTAGTGGAGAAAAGCATTTCCTACCCTTTGTTATATGTAATTCTGTTTTGGGGGACATGACTAGACAAATTTATATATACTATTGAGTTTTTATCCTGTTTCAGATATTGAATTATGCAAATTTCTCACCCTTTACTCATCTATAAAAAGAATATAGTAATAGCACCTACCTCACAAATCTTAAAAGTACCATATATAAATTTTAGGTATTATTATTTACAGTTGCATGACATTAATTCCAACCCTACTACAGAATCTTCACATATAATTTAAGAACTTGAATCTTTAAAAGACTAGAATACAAGCAAATATCCTTAACATAAAAAATAAAATTAATTCCTTTAGTGCTCTAGTTAGTATTTTAATAGCTTTTAAGTGATTCAGGTTCATGATTAAAAAAATCAACACATTACTGTAGCTAATAGTAACATTCCTTTATTCCCTCCAGCTGAAAGTATTCCCTCCCTTCTCCAATTTTACTATGAATGAATGAATGAAAAAGCATTCCTCACCTAGTGATTCAACCTATCAGAGTTGAACCTTTTCATATATGGCAAGGCTGGGCCTCAGACAGAAGATAAGAGTTTGTCAATGAAACCATACTTTAAAACTTTCCAGCTTGATAGAAGCTGCCAGAGTTTGTATTCCACTGGCAAAGCCTTTGAGAACCCAAGGTTGCCTCTATGCCACAATGGGGCATCAGAGTAGGACTTCTGTAGAAGCAGAAAACCTTATATCACAAGGCACTAGAAGCAAGCCAAACTGTAGAGAACATCTACTCTCCTTTAGAGTGGATGTAAGAAATACCACCTAAGGCTTCTTTTTCTCCTATTCATCAGCCAGGATGAAAAATGCTTATTTTCTAGACTAGGAAATGCAGTCCAATAAACAATGTGAAGAGCTGACCTGTGAGAGAGAGCGTGTGTGTGTGTGTGTGTGTGTGTGTGTGTGTGTGTGTGTGTGTGTGTGTCTTTCTGTCTGTCTTATATAAACACTGAAATTATATGAGTTGGCCTCAAAATCGAAAAGGTAGAGAATTGGTCCTAGATTGCTTTTGGAAAACTGCAATGGTCTTCTAATGGTCTCAAACTTCTCCTTGAAATGTGTCCATCTTTTTTAATGTCAATGTCCTTCCAGTGATAATGTATGACTGCCAGTTGTGGAATATCGTAGTCTACTGCTAGTTGTGGAATATCATAGCCTCCAAAGAATTAGAGATGACTGCCACCCAGAGGCCAATGGAGTGGTGCTTGGTGGCTGGGAGTTGGGTAAAACATATTACAAACAATAATTTATCA